TTGTAGTTCTGGGGCTCCTTTAGGACGAATTGGGTGGAAACGGATCTTTACAACTTAACGCATATATCCAAAAAATGAGACTCACGAAAGATTTACTGTAATTAGATCTGATGGGTCTAAAGACGCCGGTTTCACTGACTAGCTGTAAACCTTCAACAATGTTGAATTTATAATCTACATCACAGCATTCGGGACACTCCTATAAGCGCCATGTCCTCGTCTTCAGCAGCAAGCAAAGAGTATCAATTCTAATGGCACCAGTAACAGTCTGATTGTATATATATGTCTCGCTTCTCGGCCAAATCCTCTGATAACTTCTCGCAGCGCCATTCTGCTCTAACCGTAATGATCTATTTGTGTCTCCTCTCTGTTCACTCGCTCCTAAAGGGCCCTAACAACATTTAGCTTGTCATACAATAATTCAAAACCAAGTCGTACAGAACCGGCTAATATATCTGCCTGCTCGTTTCCCAACACACCGGCATTTCTAGAAAAATTATCAACGCTAACTACCCAAGACCTCTGAAGCAATACTCATCACAGCGCGATTCTGCTCAAACCGTAATGATCTATGTGTGCCTTCTCACTGGTCACTCCCTCCCAAAAGAACCCTTCACTCAAGCAACAGTGTGATTAGAACCCTGCACAAGTCTGATTCGGACACTTTGACCCAGTCCTTCTCCTCGCTCAAATGTATCAAGCCTGGACACATGTCTAACAGTGTCTTCAGCTTGCGCCTCCAAGACCTTTCTCTTCTCAGTCTTTTTTGTAAACCCTGACACAACAGTGCCAACCGCCCATTGAAAAGTGAATACAGAGTAGGAATAAACAAGCAAAACTGTTAACATCTTTCAGAAAATAGCAAAAAAGAGACCACTTCCAGTTAGAAGTCAGCGGGTGGATTGTGTATTGGCCACAAAATACTCTGCAGCCAGAAGTACTAGACATTCAAGATTGCCAATTCAGAACCTTGGTCATGTGGACAGGCACCACACAATAATGAACATGTACAACAAACATGCTCACTTCATGCAATTTATATATATATATATATATATATATATATATATATATATATATATATATATATATATATATATATATATATATAGAGAGAGAGAGAGAGAGATCCCATGTTTGGCGGGAAAGCATTCTAATGGTTTAGTCAGTGATGTACTGGATAGAACTTGTTTTCACAGTGATGTACTAAATAGAACTTGTTTAGTCAGTGATGTACTAGATATAACTGGTTTAGTCAGTGATGTAATAGATTATAACTGGTTAAGTCGGTGATGTACTGGATAGAATTGGTTAAGTCTGTGATGTACTAGATAGAACTTGTTAAGTCAGTGATGTACTAGATAGAACTGGTTTAGTCAGTGATGTACTAGCTAGAATTGGTTAAGTCATTGATGTACTAGATAGAACTGGTTAAGTCAGTGATGTACTAGATATAATGGGTTAAGTCAGTGATGTACTAGATAGAACTGGTTTAGTCAGAGATGTACTAGACAGAACTAGTGATGTACTGGATAGGACTGGTTTAGTCAGTGATGTATATATTGGTCAGTGATGTAGTAATGTACTGGTTAGATCTGGTTTAGTCAGTGATGTACCAACAAGTACATCTACATACAAACCTAAATTCGAGATACTAATCGGTATGTACTGCGCGTGCGTGCGTATTCGTGTTTTTATATCGATTACACCTGAAATGGCATGCAAAGAGAGGTGTGTGCGATGCATTCTCTACATACACATTTACTTTTTTTTGTGAATCGATTTCGGTATTTATTTATTTAGTCAAACACTTTAATAAGTTATCTACTTGCAAGGTACAAACACTTCACATTTTTCTTAGGATATTGCATGTCATGTCCAACAAGAAAGGCAAAGAAAACTAAGGTAGAAAAGAACAAGAAAAAATAAATCACAATAGACATTTAAACAGATGAATTGAAAAATATGATAAACGAGTAAGTAGTATAACGTGTCCATGTCCGCCGTAACAGGAATTCTCAAGAAAGCAGACTTTTATAAGAAACTTTGTGGTCCTAGAGGAGTATCTGTAGTTCAGGGAACTGAGTGTGTCTAAATGTATCTGTCGTGCCATCTCGAACACATAAAAGTGTGCGTGCACTGGAATCTTTTCTTCTTGCCTGGATTAATGACATTCAACTGAACGGAGATATTGCTTCTCAAAATATAGTCTCTTTTAAAGTTCAAGCGATTCACAAATATTTTTCCAGAGCTTGCATTCTCTACCAATAGTAGAGACATCAGTGAAGATTCCTAAGCCAGCAGATAATGCTTTGAAAATTAAAGAATTTACGGGTCTCCAGTGTTTCAGACACAGAAAAGGTGGTATTGCTGAAAAAGTGGTTGAAAGTTGCTAAAAGATTAACAAATCCAAGCTACCCGAGAAGCGCAAGACAAATACAGAAAAACCACGGCACTGGGCTATTACCTGGTATCGGTGAGATGACAAAAGAAGAAAATAAGAAGAAGAAGAAGAAGAAGAAGAAGAAGAAGAAGAAGAAGAAGAAGAAGAAGAAGAAGAAGAAGAAGAAGAAGAAGAAGAAGAAGACGAAGAAGAAGGAAGGAGGAAGAGGAAGAAAAAGAAGAATTTTACTTTCTTTCCCTGTCTTTAGTTATTCAGCTGTTACTGGCAAATATTTCGCTGGTTTTCTCTTTACGATAGTATTATTGTTTAATGCTTGACTAGTACTTTTCTTGAGAATCCAGTACACGTAAATAATACTATAATGTGTTCATATGTGGGACGTTTTTTTCTCTTCCGTAGCCCGATGCTTTAGTGTGTACGGCCAAAAAGCTTGGGCCTAAGGAAACCTATATTGGTAAGTGTTACGTGCGTTTACCGTTTTCAAATAATGTGTCATTTGTTAAATGTCACAGTGGGTTTCCCCAGTCTGTATGGCATCCGTCTTTAAATCGAAAAGAACTGTTGCATTAACTTGGTAGATTTGCTTCTTCTTGAAGTCAAATGGGCTTTGCATTCATCATCATCTTTATTTGCAGCTTTCTGTCCTGTGTATTGCTAATTGTTCATTTACTCTATTTAATGTAACAACGTGGGACTTGTCTCACATATCTCTTCAACCGAGGCTGTATCTTTACCTTTGACATCTGTCTATGCTGTACCTAAACATAGCTAGTGGCACAAAACTTGTTATTCAGTTACTTTTCTCACATCCGTCCTAAGCTCGTGATTTAACCGAAGACAGCTTGGTGTACAAATATTTGTTATCCAGTTTCTTGCCTGACATGCGTTTGCTTATCATTTAATAATAGAACATAGCTAGTTGTGCAAACATCTGTTATTCAAATAGTTCTCTCTTACACGTCATCCGCCGGCCACAATATAATATCTAACATAACTACTGGTACACACATTTGTTTCTCAATTACGTCTCGCATACACGTCATCTGCTCACAATATAACATAACTCCTGGCACACACATTTGTTATTCAATTACTTATCACACAAACGTTCCATGGTAATGATAGAATGTAACTAGTGGTATACGCATTTATTATACAATTACTTACCTCACGGGCTTTCCCAGGCCAAAATATAATAGAACTTGGCTAATGGTACACATATTTGATATTCAGTTACTTCTCTGACAGGCGTTCCCCAGACACGATAAAATAGAACATGGCTACTGGTACACACGTTTGTAATTCAATTTCTTTATCTCCCCGGCAATGATATTATTTGTTTGTTTGTTTTAGTATCCAGAAGCCATGAGTTGTTAACCCTTAGGCTCTGTATTATGGATATCGCAACCTTTCGGCCTAGATTCCATTGTAAATACCGTAACTCTGGGAGAAAATGTGGCTTTCCTGCCTACAAACGCGAGTGAACCCGGACCACAAGGAGTTCGTCATCCGGTCTCCGCGCAATCCGGTTTAGCCAACTACGCTAAAGAGCCGGGCGGCAATGATATAATAAAACATATCCAATAGTACAAACATCTTTTATTCAGTTGCTAGTCTCAGTCTTACTGGTACACACATTTTTTATTCAATTACTTGTCTCACATGCGTTCTCTGGGAATGACACAATACACTACATATAGCCAGTGGTACAAACATCTATTATTCAGTAGCTAGTCTCAATCTTACTAGAACAAAACAAGAGTTGCACTCTAACCTAAAAGGACTTTACCAAGCACAAGGGGCTATGTCCCTCCCCTTAGACCGTAAGAGTTCATATCAAAATCATCAGAATTCACAAGAATCGAACTCACCCCGCCCATCTCCATAATCCTATCAGAGCGCTATTGCCATCTCATCAATGTCTTCCAGCGCTGGATCAAGGAATAAGCTAAGTGCATCACAAATACTAACCTAGATTGTAAGAGACTTAACCCATTTATACATACTACAGTCACCGCCACATTGGGAGTCAGACATGCTAAAAGGGACAAGCACATGACTGAAATACAGGATCCATACATACACACACAAATATTACCTGGCTCCCAGGTCGATCCAGCCTTGAGTGGGTACCAGGTGCAGTCCCGGCAAGTAAAGGCCGCCGCCGTGATGCTGCCTATATCACCCATCTTGTGTTTATTGGTCTATAAAATATAGGTTTAGCCCTATATGCCCTCTGCGCCCAAATGCATGGAAAATGGCCCTTTACAAACAAACAAAGATGAACAGTATAACACACTAGTAGCAACACTTAGCCATTCATGATGTCCCAAAAAATATATTCAAGCCATTACATTTGGCACAAATAATATAACTCAGCCAATATATTTGACACAAAGAAACTAGAAAATAAATAAAACCAAAGCTGCTAGCAGTATGTTGAACGTGGTCGAAACCCTTAAAAACGGAACTAAACTGGAATGCACATTAGTTATTCAATTATTCGACTTGCAGAAGTTCTCCTTGTCTGTCTGGAACTATCTAACAAACACAAATGTAACATATGTTTCTGTATTTAAAAAAAAAAATCTCACAGTAAAGTTCACACCTCACGCTAGCAAATCTATTGCCCATCATATGATGGTCTACGGGTGTCGGGTGCCTGGAAGCAACGAATCATCGTGGTAAGTCGCCATTTTACACAATAATTAGCTGTCAATTTTGTACTGACAATTCACAAAGACTTTTAATTATTTAGAACAGGGTTGGAGAATATCCGGCCCACAAACCTTATAAGGCTGTTAAAAAAATTATTTGATGGCTTACAGAATCTTCTTGAAGTCTAATGTGCTTAGCATTATTCATCATTTTTATTTGCAGTTTTCTGTCGTGTGTATTGCCAATTGTTCATTCACTCTATTTATTGGAACTACACGGACTTGTCTCAATACCTCTTCAGCCGAGACTGTATCTGTACCTGTGACCTCTGTCCATGCCATACTTGATCATAGCTAGTGGAACAAAACTTGTTATTCATTTACTTGTCCCACATACGTCCTAAGCCTATGATATAACCGAAGATAGCCCTGTTACCATAACCATGACGACAGGTTTGACCAAATATTGGAATGGTAATTTTTTTATTTGACAATTAAAGCACACTAAATACAAGGAATAGTAACAACAGTCCTGACGTCCCCTGCTCTATTTGTGTAAGACTTTTCTTGACAGCGAACCATACTAAAACGTTATAACGGGTATGGAGCGAATGGAAGACCTCGGAAAAGATGGAGTGTGGCATTAAGAACAGCCTTACAGAAATGAACATCAGTCTTAATGGTGCTCTTGACAAAGCACATCAACGAATGCTACATCTCATCCCCCCCCCCCTTTCCACACTTCGATGAGGTACAAGGTGGAAAAGAAGAGGAAAAAGAAGAAGGAGGAGAAGAAGAAGAAGAAGAAGAAGAAGAAGAAGAAGAAGAAGAAGAAGAAGAAGAAGAAGAAGAAGAAGAAGAAGAAGAAGAAGAAGAAGAAGAAGAAGAAGAAGAAGAAGAAGAAGAAGAAGAGCAAGAACAAGAAGAAGAAGAACAAGAAGAATAAGAAGAGCTTGCGTGTCTTGCTAGTCACACTCGCCATCGGCATTAGCTGTGATTCCCATGCTTCTTCGCAGCCCAGTATAACACTTTCGTCTGGAAAGATCTGAAGGTGCCGAGGAATTAGAGACGTAAGTGGACATATGAAAAACACTTGATTTGGTGGCACACAAGATGGTGGTCTAACGTTTCACAGCGACAGAAGAAAGATGTCTAAGAACAAATACAAATGCTGGAGCCGATCAACATGTCATAGAATGCTGATTTCCTTGGCATCATTTGTTACTATAAATGATCTAGAAAGATAAAGGAGGAAATACTAAAAACATATGGCATTCAAGCGCCTCATAAAAATACAAAAATATAAAAGTTCGGACTGAGTTCATGTATCGCCTTAATCTCACTTGAAATTACCCGTTATTGCTTCTGTCTCCTTCTCTGTTCAATTTAACCTCGGACGGACTTGGCTTTGTGAAGTAATGATGTAGCTTGTGTGTATTACGTGAAGCAGTCGTCAAATCCAATGATGCCTCCTCGTGTCACCCAGCTACAGACCTTAGCACCATATACAATGCAGTACAATACTAGTAGACACGTATTAGTTGCACTTCTTGTAATCATCACGAATGCAGTAACCCCTCTCTCAACCAGCCCCCCTTTTTCCCTAAATTTATGTCAGTGCTAGTAGTAGGTACGTTTGCAAATCTAGGCTCCATAATAAAAAGCAATGACGAGTATTCAACAGAAGTCATAAGGAGGATAGCCACAGCAATGCAAAGATTAAACAGCATTAAAGTCTGTGGTAAAGCACCAGTAAGAAAATAAAAGACACAATTTTGACACCATGCGTCTTCCATAAACGGATGCTAGCCGTGGCCTATCTAGCCGTCGTCAAGAAAGAAAATATGCGCTTTTGAGCTGAGATGCTATAGAAGGTTTCTTAGAATACTATAGACAAAGAAGAAAAGAAATATTGCTAGCAAACAACATTTTGCCTCAGAAGCATAACTTTTTTGGGGCTGTATCAAGCGCCACGTATTAGAAAAATAACAGTAGTCGGTATGATACCAGGAAACCCGGACAGAGGCTGACTATCATGAAGATCGGCACAGGATTTATATGACGTCTATGGCAGGAAAGTGCGTGAGGCGGGAGAGCTGTAGAGAGACTGACTTTCTTACAGGAAATACGATAGAATACACAGTATTGCTTCATTGTTGTAAAAGTGATTGTTATCATTATCATCGACGTTATCATCATCCTCATTATATAAATGTATATCTCATTTTGTACAAAGCTGCGAGTAGCACTAACACATTGTACATCCTATTATATAATGTTAACGTGTGACACTTACTAATAGATTCCCCGGCTTCTTCTGCATTTCCTGAATGATGAACTAAAAAAAAAAAAAAAACTATACAAAACTCTCACACTGTCAAGGTGTGAGAAACGAAGCTCTTTTGTTTAAATAACGAAAGTAAAAATCTATTGTTACATCTCAAGGGTGTGCGACCAAGGTGAAAGTGATGGTAACACACCTGACACAGTGTGTGGTGATCGAGACAAAAAAATCCTGTTCGCTTGGGCCTTGGATGCTCCTGAAAAGTCTTTACCAGAAGGTCAGTCTGAGGCTAACTCTATAAATATATATATATATATATATATACCCCCCCCCCACCCCCCCCCCCACACACACACACACATACACACATTTAAAAATGAAAAATAAAGAACAGACAAGAAACACAATGCTACTGAAATGAACAAATAGAGTGATAATTTTCACGTTAAAAGTGTTTGTAATTTAATAAGTGAACTAGTTCAAATTGTAAGCAGAGTCCAGCGTTAATTATTCTATTTCAAACAGTTTGATCAGACACATGATGTCTTGGAGAGCAATTACTGCTCAATTGTGGAAATTGTTGTAAACCCTTAAAGATTTGTGAAAGCCAAATAAAGCGATCCTCTGCTGCCGTTGTCACTCCTCTGGATACTTCACAGCGATGCTGGTCTTCAACTGAACCAGCGGCTTTGAAACCGGTGACAAAATCGACTGGTATTCTGATGCTCGTTTAGATGTCAGGCAACCCGACTTTGACTTCCGCATGCCTGCAGTCGGCTAATAGCAGTATTCATAAAATCTATTGACAGGATGCCACATATAACTAGTTAAAAATCAACTGAATGTTTCGGTAGTGTTTTCCTTTTATAGAGCTTCAGCTGTTTAGTCAGCAAATAGTGTTCATTCTCAAATTGTGTTTCTTTTTATTGCGAGCATCATGAGCTATGCTAAGAAACGTGGACATGAACATAATTGACAACTACGTTGTAACTATTATAAAAACCCGCAATTCACGCTAAAAGGTTCATTTAACACTGTATAACAACATTTGGGTCTGTTTTTATTACATACACATACGACATTTTTAAATTAATAAAATCATTAGATTAGTTTGTGTTGTGTGTGCCTGTGTGTGTGGGTATGTGTTTGTGTGTGTGAGTGTATGTATGTGAACAGTAGTATACGTTCGTCGTATTCTTTCCTTTTCTGTCTTTGATAGAATCATTCAAGCTTGCAGAACCCCTCTCATAGGATATAGATCATCACACGTAAAAACAATTATCATAGATGCTGTTTTGAATCCTTCCGTCTCATAATTATAAAAATATCGTCTCGGCTGTACATTAATATTCCCCCCCCCCCCCCTGATCAAATTAATTATTAACTTTTCACTGATGCATACACATCTCGACTTTCTCTTCGTGTTTTTATCACTTGTTCACTGTAGAGTTTAAAAAAGCATTACAGCACACTTTACTAAGGTTGTGACGTTTCAACTTGTATACACTAAACTCATTTGCCATGATTAGAATGTTAGGAATATGGTATACTATGAAAGAAAGAAAACTTTTACATTCAGAAAGAAAGTACTGACAATTCTGTTTGAACAATTCATACTGTATTAGGTAGATCTTGGCTGAGGAAAAGAACACATCGGGAAGAGCTTGGGTGCAGCTGAGGTGCAGTATTATATGAATATCCTCATTCCTCATACAGCCAGAAGAGTTCAAATATTACTTAGGAGAAAGCTTGGGAGAGCATAACCTTATAAGTAACTATAAGATGGATACGAACATTGTTCATTCGTCATATGTTGAGATAAAGTGGGACAGTGCTGGTAATAACTTATATACATTCTCAGGTGTTGGAATTCGAGTAAGTGGTACCACACAAATAAACTACATGGTCGTGCAGCTTCATTACGCAAAGACCTTTGCTCGTAAGTAATATATGACAAACAGGTTTTCATACACTATTTCTTATAGGTACTTAGGGCTATATGGAGAGTATCAGGACCTGCCAGCTTTGAAATACTGTCCAAGAGCCAGCTTGTTGACTGGTAGAGAAGACAAAACAAATGATGCGTTTCTACATATCGTTGGCAACTATGATTTCGTTTTAAAGAAAAGTGAAAAGATGGAAATAAAATGGCAGTCACATGTAATACAATTTGATAGCCTCTTCAAAATTACACTACAGTACGTAATAGAGGGAAAGAGGCCGATTAAGAAAGGGCAAGCTTCCAAATATGGCTGATGGGTCGACCTCAAATTCGCCAACGTCATGTACAGTAAGTACAATACAACAATCTGACCACAGAGGCAGAGGAAGCTTATCAGACAGTAAAGAGTGACTGGTGACACGTGACACGTCGTTTTATGGAGCTACGATGATGGTGTTGATTACAACAATGATGATTTTTTTAATAATACGGACACAAATATTGTCTAACGCAAATAGCATCACATAGTCATGTGTATTAATAAAAGTTATATATATATATATATATATATATATATATATATATATATATATATATATATATATATATATATATATATATATAAGAATAAAACACAAATATGAATGCTTTCCACTGGAATGCACAGATCACAATGTCATCTCTAGTCACGCTGTTCATCATAACTACCGGAAGTTCATAAGCACCTTGTTACTATAGAAGTTTTACATTTGGAACATACTTATTTTGTTTGTACAACGTGGGCTGGTTCAATAAATAACTCGAGTTTGTTATGTGTGACAGTTAAATAAGTAGCTGATTACTGAGTCCTAACGTAGCAATGGAAATCACAGCATACCAGGCATTCCTAAAGATCCTCCTTCTCTCGCATCAAATATCTTAAAGTGTAATTACTGTGTGATCCAGCAGTAAACTGGCTGCATTTACGTCGTTCTCTTCCTTTCATAATCCTACTTGCCTTAGATCCTTTTTTTCATACATAGTTCCCTTCACACATACTTCACCATATGCATACTTCCCCTCATCCACACTCCCCCCCCCCCCCCATACATCCTTCCACTCATGCATCCTCCAAATCCATCTCACCCTTTCATCTTTCCTCTCAAACATCTTTCCTCTCACAATGCTTCCTCTCATGCATCCTTTCTCTTTTGCATCATTCCTCTCATACATCCTTCCTATTATACATGCTTCCTTTCATATACCCTTCCTCTCATACATCCTTTCTCTCATACATCCTTCCTCTCACACATCTTTCCTCTCATATACCCTTCCTCTCATACATCCTTCCTCCCATACATCTTTCCTGTAATACATGCTTCCTTTCATTCATCCCTCTTCACATACATCCTTCTCATACATCCTTCCTCCCATAAATCCTTTATCACATACATCCTATCGCTTATAATCATTCCTCAACATCCTTCCTCTCATACATTCTTCCTCTCATACATCCGTTTTCTCATACATCCTTGTCATCGTGCATCCTTCCTCTGATACTTCCTACCTCTCATTCCTCCCATACATCCTTCCCGTTATTCATCCTTTCTCCCCTACATCCTTTCTCCCATATATACTTCATCGCCTAAACCGCACGTAATGCTAAATTTTCGCAATTGTATAATTCTACATATTTAAATTAAAAAATTTGAAACGATACCTTGGAGTGGCTGCTGGATCTGAAGACTGAAACAATGGGGGGGGGGGGGGGGGGGGGGGGGGGGGGGGGGTGGTCATCAAGCATGGCGTCCGCCTTGAGTGCTAGAGGTCCTGGATTCAGGCCCCGGTGAAAGCTGAGATTTTTTCACGTGGACTTTTAGTAATTTCTCCTGGTCTCTGTGTAGTGAGATCAGACACGCGTGTGTTTTGTTCGGCACGTACAAAATCAATTGACAGTTGCAAATCGGACATAATAGCATAACAGTGCTGGCTGGGCGAAATTTGGAGGTAAAAATCTACCCTAAGTATTTCAGGATCCCCGCTGGTGCTACTGAGTTCGTGCACTGCGATGAGTTTCTTCAAGCTCAGGCTTGAGTTAGAGTAGAACGGTGCACTTATAGGCTACTACTCTTGTGTCATGAAGTTGATCTGTCTTTCAAACATCAAACAATGCTCACTGACGTCGTTTGTAAAAACATCTATAACATAACCTGGTACTTAAAGATGTAATTATTGCTCACCGTCATACTTTCAATTGATACATTTCCCTACAGCCGGAGTTACGGACAATTCAGGTATTACTATTGGAATGACACATAACAGGTACATTATAATTTTTATGTGTGTGTGTGTGTACCTATACATATGTATATATATATATATATATATATATATATATATATATATATATATATATATATATATATATATCATCATCATTATGTAGCATGTCTATTGCAGAAAGTTACTCTCATCCCAGTCTGCCTGAAAGAAACTCAGTCTCTCGCCAGTTCTCCTGCCTCATGAACTTTCACACTCAAGGAGTCACTTCGTTTCGGTCGCCCACTGCCCCTCCTTCCTGGTACCACGCCTTCTTCTATAATTTTTTCCAATCCGTCGTGGCGCTTGATATGACCAACATATTTCAGCTTCCGAGAACGGATGCTGTTTAGCCAATCTTCCTTGATGTTAAAATCTTTCAAGATGTCTGTATTTCTCCTCTTCTTTGTCCAAAGTATTCTGAGAATCTTTCTATAGCATTTCAGCGCAAAAGCCCCTATTCTGTTTCTACTCAGAGATAGTCCACGACTCACATCCGTATGTAGCCACAGTGAAGATGCATGTTCTCAAAATTAGAATTTTGATCTTTTTTTTTTTTTCAGTGACGGGGTGATACTTGTAGAAATTTACAGGCAAATAAAGGTCCAGTGTGGTGATGTATAGTCAGAGTTTGTGGCGGCTTAGGTGTTGCTTCGTATTGTCGGGGTGCCGGGTTCAATCCTAGCTGCTGACGATTTGCTATGCGTTGGTTTCGATAGTGGTATCAAGAGCTGACGGTTCAGAGGCAATGGCAAACTAATGAAAGTAAAATTAGCATACAAAAACCAAAAACAGTCCAAACGATGCTGCGACTGGTTCTGCAACGTCATGTAACAGATACGCAGCTAACTAATAGTGATGTATACCTGTCAATCAAGCATGAAGTAAAGGTACATTAAAACCGCAAATACGGAAAGCTACTCTGAAAAACTATTCTAATAGGGAAAGACGTAGATTTATAAAGTGGCAAACCTGCCCCTTTTTACAAGTTTATATCTCCTTGTATGTCCTTCAACGTAGTAAAGAAGGAAAAACAATTAAAACAATTTTGCACAAGCTTAGTTCATCAAGAAAATGTAAAATATTTTTGTAATTAGCGATAACAATAATTAAATTACATACAAAATATAAAAATTGCGAAGTCTAAAAGAAAAAAAATAGAAATTAATATTTAGTTTTAAAAAAAAATGTTTATATGAATAAATAGGTAATGATCTCATATCTATATACGTATATATATATATATATATATATATATATATATATATATATATATATATATATATATCACCACCTCTTTATTTCTTCTCATGGCCATGCAGTGCCTTTAATTGATTGTTCCACATCATGGTTGTGATCTGCTTGTGCATATAAGACACCCAACTTTCACCAATGAATTGAAGGATGTTTAAAAACAAGACTACATACAACTTCGTAGTACCGGATATCCCATACGTCTTAGAGAGAAGAGAATCTGGTTGCTCGTTGAGGTCTTCGCTCGAAGTATGGTCATCTTGGCTCCAGCGACAACTTGTAAAGATCTCCAGAAACAAACAAAAAAACAAACAAAAAAAAAAACAAAAAAAAACTGCAATCGCAAACCGAAAGTCAGAGTCTGAAGTCGAACCTACATTTTGCAGAGAGCAAAGCAAATTATTTCGACAAAAAAGACCGCCAAATAATTAAAAGCGACATCTTTGGTTTCGCGTGCCAAGAGCAGATTTCCAGTTTCTATTTCTTTAGTGTTTGGATTTATCTTTCCTTGCCTATGATTTCATGGTTAATGCTCAAAATAAACATATTTCAGCCTCAGTCCCAAGCGGTGGTTACTTGTTCAGCTTGTACTTCCCAACAGATTGTTTACTTTATAAAAACAAACATTGACTCTTGTGTTAAAATAGTTGACATTAAATTTTTTTTTTTAAATCTACCAGTTCGATTTAGACAGAATGAATTAAAATGCAATGTATATTGCTGTTCGTTCACTTCCGGAATTTAGTCAGAAATTAGTCAGAACCTGCGTGTTGAGTACCTATCCGTTTAAAATATTTAGCTAAGGTGTATGCAAACTGTTGGTTACTTGTCTCTAAAGTAGATGTACCCCGACTACTAAGGATGCCCCTAATTAGTCCACTCCGCATGCTTATTGCGGACGCTGTGGGTCTCTTCCTGTTTTCCTTATAAATGGGCCTCAGAACGCACCTAGTTTAAGAAACAAGTGAGATGAAATGAGTTCAATATATGAGAGGAAAGTAAGTAAATAATGCATTGTAATATGTGATCAGACAAAGTTTGGTACTGAAAGAGTTAGTAATATCATTTCTTTACTGTTTTTATTTTCAGACCACCACAACAGGTTGGATACTTTGTGTTGGGAAACTGGGGTAACATTCCCCCACAAGTAGCAGGTACTGGATGTTACTGGAATATGTGTACCCTATGCTCTTCTAATCAGGTACTGGTGGTATTATAGTGACGACTCATCGATAAGGTGATGTGCATCCAGTTTCACAAAGCGGGCGAAAAAGTATTCCAGCATTGCCTAATGAGATAAGGTTGATTAGTGATATATTCATACATATATTAGTGACAAGAATTGGCTAGATATGTAGATGAAGACGCCAAAAACAGACCTTCTAAGCGACTGAGAGATAGAGAAAAATGATAGGGAGAGGGAGAGAGAGAGAGAGAGAGAGAGAGAGAGAGAGAGAGAGAGAGAGAGAGAGAGAGAGAGAGAGGAAGAGATAAAGAGAAATAGAGAGAGTTCGCCTAAATTTAGGTAATAAGAAGAATAAGCACACAGGATCAATGGCTAGCGGAAAGCATTTTTTGTTAAATAGACTGTCAGCCGAATAATGAACAAATCAGGCGTACTAAAACACTGGGGGGGGGGGGGGGTAAACATATAAATGGATGCTTGAGTAATTAGGCAGTTAATTAGGTACGCATATTTACACACACACACACATACACACATACACACACACATATACAACTAGATCGACAGACAACGCGACTAATTCAGAGGCAAGCTGTTGAATAGGTACTATAGTTTCTATAGCGGATGATGTCGAGCGCACTTAGGTAATTGACCAATTTCGCTGCTGCATAGAACCCGTTGAGAGCAAACTCAACAGAATAAACATAATCAATGGCGGCTCTACATAGGCAGTGCGGAACTGCACCCTTTATTTTCACTTGACTTTATCCATACATGGTAAACTACTGACCGTAACATATGCCTCCAAAAACCGCAACAGCCAATAAATGATGTGGTTGGTTCTGTTACGTCCTGTAAAGGATCCGCAACTAACTTTTTTTTTCTATCGGTACAGTTCAGTAAAATGAGTCTTCAAAAATACGTTTACGTATATAAACTTTAAGTAAATATAATCCTTAAGCTAAAGGTCAGTAGCCATCCTTAAGTTCCTAGAAACAAATTACAATATCCGTGTACGTAGCTGTAAATTCAACAGTTCCAGGGACACAGTGTTTGACTGTTTTAGACATACGCACATATCTGATATAAGAAGCAGCTCCTAAGGTATGCGGACATTGTTTAACTCTTTGAGTCCCAAGGAACGCATCATATGTTGATAGGTTCCTGCCTAGAGACCCAGTAAACGCAAGATGTGCTGATTTTACATCTCTTTTGACTACCCCTTGGGTCTCTGATGCTAAACTCCTTGGGACTCCAAAAGTTAAATCTGTCCTCGTAAATTTAAAAATAGAAAAATGAATTTCGCGTGTAATGAATAGATCAAGACTGAACTGTCATAAATGAGGGAATTCGTTTTAAATGTCGCTTTGCTTATAATTTTGTATATTTATGTATACATTTTCTTTTCTTGTTTGTTTGTTTCACACTATATTGGGGGGGGGGGGGGGGATTTAATATTGTACGGATCTTTATGTCTCCCCCTCTCTCTCTCTCTCTAGAGTGTGTGTGTGTGTGTGTGTGTGTGTGTGTGTGTGGCGCGCGCGCGCGCGCGCTAGTTTTAATTATGTTGACTAGATGTGTGACTCACTGCTTCAATTTTTTTAATGGTTTTTTTTTTTTTTTTTTACATTTCCAGGAGTTTATTTGCTAGATTCGTGTGTTCCTCGATATTGTTATTAGTATTTTCATATCTGTTTATATATGACTTTTTGCATAGTATTTTGAATATCAGATTATAAAACGATCTTATGTGTCACTAGTTTTATTATTTGCTTGACACATTTGTTGTGTGGGAGACACAACATCTTTGCATGTGCCCGTTACGCTATGAGGGTGATTCTTAAATCAGCAATTAAACTCAGGAATTTATGTTTTCTTTAGACGAGTAAGATGATTGCAGTGATAGATATGAAACTCAATTTTCTTTTTTTTACCTAAGATTATCGTATGGACTCAGCGTGTGAGTTTCCACTAAATTACACAATCTACCCAATCGGTTACAGAACACATTCCCATAATTTAGGTAAGTAAATGAGTTTGTTGTTGGTTGTATTTACAGAATTATTATAAATGTTCGACTTGCTATTGCTAGTCGCCTTTATTTTGTGAACTGAAGCCTGTTTATATGTTTGCATTTTCTGTAGTTGTAAATATATGCACATGTATTTACCGAAATATTTTAAGTGCACAAAAGAAACCTCAGATCTTAAGGCAGACTAGACAATTTGAGGGAGCCGCCGTGGTGAAGCGGCTGGACACTCGCCTGCGGATCCGAAAGTCGTAGGTTGAGGTCCTGACGGAACTAGATTTTGTTCTCTAAATAGTACCTAGGCTGCCAGCGATCCAGCCTTAAATAAGTACCAGGTAAAGTCCTAGGAAGTAAAGACGGCCGGTGGAATGTTTATCACGTCATCCACTGAGTGCCGACTGGTGTATAAAATCATGTCCTGCCCTGTATACCCAATATGGATGAAGGCGTGGAAAAAGCTCCTGTTCTTACTAGACAATATAAACAGTTAACGCTCTAGTGACTTACTCAGGCAGATATCAAAGCAGCTGCTTTCAAATGAGGACATGATCTAACTGTAAGAAGGCATATGCTATGAGACACGGCCAGCCATATGTCTAACGTATTATTAGAGTCTTGCATCAAGTTTTTTTTTTTTTTTTTTTTTTTTTTCAACTTTGGCATCAGTCTAAATATAAAAATTTGCTGAGTGAATATAATTTTTCATCCTAATGATTCTCCTTATAGTTTCTGACACTGTTTGTCATAGATCTTCACAGCTTTCTTTCTGCTGTACTATCAGCCATGTCTGAAACAGATGTTTTACCTTGTAATTATGCCAAGCGAGTAGGATTGTAACATGATCATATGTGTATCACCAGTTTCATTATTTTGTCTCTGCAACTGAAGACATTTGCTACGGGAGACGCATCGTCTGGAGATGTGTCCGTTATGCTATGGTGGTGATTCCTAAATCAGTCATTAGAATAAGGATATATATATATATATATATATATGTATATATATATATATATATATATATATATATATATATATATATATATATATATATATATATATATATATATATATATCAATGTTTGTGTGTTTGTTTATCCCCTATAGACTCAGAAACTACTGAACCGATTTAGCTGAAATTTTCAGGATATGTTGTTTTGATACCGGATGTTGAACCATCATGGTTTGAAATTCAACCTGTCATTGTTAAAGATAGTTTGCGACAATTTATGCCATAATATTCGAAACTTATATTTATAATTTTAGTGATTTCTAATTATAGCCACGTTAGTAACTGTGCATGCGCCGTAGTCAGAACGCAAGGCTTCCACCATTCGCCGGCGAGTTACGTGCAGCCAACGCTTTCTCTAATACATAGAGTAGGTCGTGGTACAGCAAACAAGACTATGTCTATATTTGCCACAATAACCATATTAAACACGATTTCTATTTTCTGTTTTTTTTTCAAACAACCTTCGATGGGCGGGGGGGGGGGGGGGGGGGGGGGGGGGGCATCAAGGACTATCTCGACGTCGGCGCAGACATTGACTGCGACATTAACTTCATTAACCGTGTTAGACACGTGCGATTTCTATTGTTGTGCCGTTTCATTAATATATCTGGAGTATCTGTCTACGAGAAAACAATTGCCTGCGGTTTTGAGTTGTGTTATAATCGGGACACAGTAGTAGGGACACACATCTCTAATAGTTTAGTTCTCTTTTCGGTGCTCCAATTAAGTAGCTGCTTGGTCGAATGGTTTGAACGCTGCGTTTCCGTGCGGGAGACCAGGGTTCAAATCCGCAGTAGTTAACTTTTTTTTTACCCCAGACTAAAAAAATATCCTCATCTGCTCTGTCGTGGTGACAGCACTAGCAATGTTGCCCTTAATACTTAAAAAAAAAAGGACAAGTAAATGGGTAAACCATTTGATAATTAAATTTGACCATTTCGCATACTTATGATTGCATTTTTTAACTTTCCGATTGCATGGTTACGCTGAAATTTCATATCTTTCCATTTATTTTCATTTAGATTTAGTTATTTCATCTGCGTTATAATTTTAAGCTGTGCTGTTTACCATAGCGTTCATTTCCTAATTATGGTGTGTGTTTTTTTTCCTGTGTTCATTTGCTTTTCAAGTGTTCTTTTTTCCCTCGCAACTACTTCAATGAGAGAAAGAGTTGTCAGTGAATTTAGGGGGGGGGGGGGCAAACTATTAACTGAGGGAGCTTTAAGTCACAGTAACTGCTTTACCCACTTAAAGTAGCAACAGCAGTAATAGTTGTGGTTGGGCTGTGACACCATAGTGCTCTCATGTGAAGACCGCCGGTAAGGTTATGGCGTTCTTCTGTCGGCAAGTGAAATTATACATCCTAACCTGACCAGTCTGTGGCGACAGCACTAGCCATGCGGAACCAAATCTTCTGGCTCACGACTCTCTGTCTACTCCGATGGTTACACAGATAGCAGTGACATTATTTTAGCTACTGTGGTGGTGGTCGTGGTAGTAGTTGTACTGGTACTTAAATGATGATGTGGTAAATATTACACTAGCCCCATTCACTACCTATTACAATTCCTGCTCCCCATTTTAGTCCGGATGGACAGGGATGTCAATGTCAGTTACAGCAACAACAAAATATCGCCAGGTAATGATTTTCAAATCCTTCGGAGAGGGAGAGAGCAGTAGTCGGAAGAGGGAAGGGGAGGGGTTAATGACTTGAATTTAAGAGAACTTAAAGAGCTTTACACGTGATTTTAAATTCTCATTACCTAATTTGTTTATATTTTACTAATGCTACCTCCGCTTTTCTATTTTTTACGACTTACTTTGTTATTCACAAGTACAGTTGTAACTTTACTTCCGTCCCCTATAAAAATACAAACAGCTTTAGCATGTGATAACCAAAAAACCATTTTTGTTACTGTGCTAATAACACCATTTAAACGACCACTAATATAAAGACACAATTATAAGGTGCGTGTTCTAAAGTTGGAAAACGAGACTATCTCTATATCTGTGCAGAAAATGATTGCGACATTAACTATATAAGACACGTGCGATTTCCATTGTCTTTCTTTTCCAAAAACCTTTGATGAGGGAGAGAGTAGTAGGTGGATTTAGTTGTGGTGGTGGTGGGGGGGGGGGGGGGAGGGATCAAAGACTATCTCTATATCTGAGCAGACAATGATTGTACTAGACACGTGCGATTTCTATTTTCTTTCATTTCCATTTAGCCAAACTATGCCACAGCAACGCGTGCCTGGGTACAGCTAGTATATATATATTTAAATGAGTGGACAACCTCTGGACAACATCAGAACTATTTATCGCATGACCGAATGTGCTGTAAGAACAACCGTAGGCATGACACACTTGTTGCAAGTTTCATAAGGGGTACAACAAGTGTATGTACTGTCGCCACTCTTGTTATATATATATATATATATATATATATATATATATATATATTATAAATAAACCTTTTAAAGAAACCAACCCAACACCCCCCCCCCCCCCCATCCATGGAGGCATACAATAGAGTTATTATTGTCGAAGATCATCATCTTCATCATCATCATAAACCACTACTGCTGGTAAGCACCGTGGGGAGGAATAATTTGCGAAACAATGCACGTTGGCCGCCACTGTCTATTGTCATGCCGTGAAGGCGTAGAGTGTCTTTAATGTTGTCGATCCATTTTTCCGCGGCCGTCCTCTTGCACTTCTAGCTGATTGTCGAAGATCATTCCCTGTTAAACAAAAATTTGAATAACCTCCAAGCAGCCCTGATTTCTATTGCAAGAAATACAATATAACAATTAATACCGAAAAAAACCCACAGAAATAATCAGTCAACAGTCAATAGAACACCAGTTTAATATGTTAACACTGTTGAAAGAAAGACATTAAAACAAGCTAAAGAGGTGAAATATATTAAGTACATAGGTAGTATATATACAGAGGATAGAGGATTGGACAAAGAAATAGAAAAGATAATAAAGAAGGTCAACATCATAACTTTTCAAAAGGAGCCACGTTTTGTGCATCAAAGTACTAACACGCACACACACACACAAAAGCAGCTGATAAATGCGCCATTCATACCATTTGTGTGCTATAAATGCCAAACATAGACAGTCCTACAAAAAACACAAACATTACATTACAGTATGTAACATCAGATGAATAAGCAAGGCAACCGTAGAAACAAGAAAAGACAAAAGTCACCAAAGAGGAACTAAGAAAAGTGGTATGCTTGGTACCGGTGAATGATTTAATAAGAGTATAATAGACTTAAATGGTTTAGTGATCTGGTCAGAAGCGAACAGAAACGAAATATGACATCAGTACAAGCTTCAAAAAAAAAAAAAAAGACAGGAAACTACAAATAACTGATCTCTGCGACGCTTTACAGCATATTCATAGTACGAAAAAAAAAAATTCAAAGAAGATAATGCTAAACTGTCAGAAAGACCTCTTTCCTGATCTTGCCCACATTTTCCCTCCAACATTTCTGACGTCGAGATGTACCCAAGTTTTGTTACTTCTTAATGTAGACCCAAGGAATAGGGGATTCGCCCATTCTGATGCGGGCAACCAAAACGGTTTATGAGTTGATTTCTTTGAAAAGTTCATCTTGTCGGCGTCTGTGACTTAGGCGTTGCGAACGCGCTTTGTAATGCCGGATTGACCGGTTCGATCCCAGCTGCGGGCCTTGCGTTTTGCGTTGGTTTCGATAGTGGCATCGAGAAGCCTATCATCCAGAAAGCAATGGCAAACTACTGGATGTGAATTTGCCTATAAAAACTACAACAGCCAACAAGTGTTGGAATTGGTTCTGTACTGTCATGTAAAGGATACTCATCTAGGTTAGTTGCGTATCCTTTATAGGACGTTGCAGAAACAACCCCAACAGCTCCTGGCTGTTGTGTGGTTTTTCTAGGCAAATTTTCGTCCAGTAGTTTGCCATTGCTTTTTGGACAGCCGGCTTTCTTGATACCACTGTCGAAACCAACGCAAGGCGTATGGCCCGCAGCTGGGATCGAATATGGCATCCCGCCATTACGTAGCGTTCGCATCGACTTAGCCACAGAACCGACTAAAGGATACGCAACTAACTAACTAAATATCTAACTAACTAACTAATTTCATCATTAGGTCTTTTATTTGTCGTTTATTTTTCATCTCAATTAACAAACAAACAAAAGCTACACAGGTTATGAACTGTTGTTGTACTTTTGTTGTATTAGTGTTAGTAATGATAAGGATGAAACTCATTTCAGGTTTTGTGACAAGCGGATACAGAATTCGTAACGGAACCTGGTTGCAGATAGGGAAAATGTCCCCTCAACGTCCCCAGGTAACCCTTCTTTTAACAAAATACAACTTCCTTAAAAAAAGAAGCTCCACATACAAAGTAAAGATATCAGATATTGATGAATACAGCTGTGGAAGTGGTAAAATGACTGCTGGACATTTACTGCAAAGGGGTCTAACATTTAAAAAAGGCTTTCCGTCTCCACAACAGAGATAGGCTGCTTTGAGGAATATAAAGCCAAGATCAAGGCAGCCACCAGAACCCACTGGTACACTTTTCATCCAGAACGCAATCACAAGGACCCTGTCAACCTCCTGGCGGAGAGAGAGGGGAGGGGGGGGACTACTCTATTTACATTGCGAAATGTACGCGCAGCTCCTTAGACATAAGTACAATACATTCAAGATTGGGACTTATAGCACAAAATATGGAACAATGCTACACACTAGCTCTCTAAATATAGTAGAAAGGTCCCCAAACTATCTGGTTGGTATTTCAAGTGAAACTAAGCTTTTTTGATTGATTTGATTTAAGAACTGACATCACAACATTCCGGGGTATTCACATAAGCGTTCCGTCCCCATCTTTAGAAGCCATCGAAAAGTTCCGATACTAATGGTGCCAGTAGCATTCTGATTAAACGTCCGTCTTGCCTTTCCTTTGAGCCTCGAGCATCTGCCAGAACCTCTCGTCACTCCCCCCTGCATCAATCTCACCAGACTGTGGTGATCCATCTGCTCCTCCGAACTGTACACGTTCTCCAACAAGGCACTAACCACGTCTGCCTTATCATGTATCAGTATTCCACCAAGTTGTGCAGAGCTAGCCAGTCTGTCTGGCTGTTCATTTACCAACACACCGGCAGCTCGGTGAAAAAAATCTAGACAATTATCCTCACCCGTTTCCTCCGCATCGAAGCATGCCAATCTGCATGAAACGTGCCTGTCCTGATACACACCACTGGGGTGTATCACTGGTGCAACCCAGAATGACCCGCATCGCAGCGTTCTGTATGCGCTCTATTTTGTTTATCTCACTCTTTGAGACGGTAAGCAGTCCCAGGCCATAAGCAACAAATGACAGCATCAGGTGCTGATATTGTGTGTAAAGCATTCTCTGCTCCATGTCATTTGCAGAGTCTTAAGTCCACTAAGTCCTTTTTGGCATCTTGTCACAACACTCTCCACATAGTCCTTAATGGTCAGGCTCCTGTCAAATGTAATTCCAAGATACTTCAGTTTGCTCTCTCTGTTGACGTCTCTACCATCTATCGTGAGACTTGGAACATTAGCCTTTACGATCCTGTTGTCCAGAGTACACCACAAAACAGATGCTTGCTCCGGGTGAACGACAGCCCTCATTTCTGTACACCACTCGGTCACTTTATCTACTGTCGCTTGTAGCTCCAGGGCTATTTGTTCCCTCTCTTCCCCCTGCCTATATGCAAGTATATCAACTGCAAAAGTCAGTATCCTTCCAATTCCTGGTGCTTCTAGGCATGCAATCTTGCTTGTATAAACGTTAAAGAGCACAGGCGAGTAGGCGGATCCATGTGGCAGTCCTAGGGCCAAACTGCATGGTTCTGAGGTCCATGAGCCCAGTCGCAGAGCATCAAGCTGGCTACCATACATTGTCCATTTACCTGTCGGTGGCTTGATACTCTGTACGATGTATGTCGCTGCTTTTAATGCAGTCGTTCTATCATCTACTCGCACAAAAGAACACACCCTGTTCATCCAGACATCTCGAACAGAATGCTCTAACTTTCTCACTAGCTGAGCTACATACTTTCTATTTACACAGTTAGTATCCTAGTAATTCACGTGAAACACAGTGTGTTTACAGCTCAAGATATATGGTGCTAGCAAGTTTCCAGTCGCTCAATTATTTTTATCTACAGGTAACCAACGTGACCTTTCGCCCAAATATTATGTTAACAATGAAATCTCATATGTTCTCTAATTCAAATTACTTGTCATGATGTGTTTACAGCTAAGCTATGATACCTGTGCCTGTATGCCTAAAACATCCTGTTTCATCTAACCCTAATGAGTCAAATTTACGGTATGCTAATGATAATAAGAAGCAAAAAGTGCATAGTTAAATCAGAATTTGGAGAAGAGCAGTGTGGTTTAGTTGAAGGTAAAAGTACAAACAAACACTGCCATACTTATGTTGAGAAAAATGTCACAAAGAATGATTGAAATTAACTTAGATCCGTATTTGTGCTTTATTAATTACACTAAAGCATCTTAAAAGTGAAACATGAAGACATTATTAGAATTTTGAAACTTTGAACATTGATGGCAAAGATCTTAGAATAACGCAGCTTTTCGTTATTATCAAACCCACTCCGACTGCAGTCAGGGGTCCTAATGTAACTTAACGGTTGAACAGGGTTTCTAGGACTTGTGCCTGTGTGGTCTTCATTCGAATGGTGGCACTTTGTGTCACCGGATGTAGGTTGCTCGTTGTAGGGTCGTGGTGAGGTTGAACAACACAAACATCTGAGAATTCACACACACATATAAATATATATATATATATATATATATATATATATATATATATATATATATATATATATATATATATGTGTGTGTGTGTGTGTGTGTGTGTATATATATATATATATATATATATATATATATATATATATATATATATATATACTGGCAACAAGAAGCGGCCATAGGAATTTACAGCCAGGCTGGAACTTTTAAAAAAATTAAACGAGAAGTTAGACGGGAGAATGTGTAGGCTCACATTATTTATTCATTTAGTAAGTTAAATAATAATTAAATCCGTTCATGGTATACTAGGAATATAGGTTGGTGGCAATATTGTTAACAACCTAAGTTATAGCAACGATGTAGTTTTAATAGCTGAAAATGAAGCACAACTGGGAAAAATTATTGAAATAATTGTTACAGAAAGTCAAAACAAAGTCTTAGTTTGAAAAGCAGAAAAACTGAAATAATGGTAATCATTAAGAAAACTGACACTATGAACTGTAACATCAAAATTAATGGGACATCCTCAGGCAAGCAGCTATGTTTAAGTACCTGGGTACTTTGATAACATCAGATGAAAGATGTGTTAAAGAAGGTTAATGTAGAAAAGGGCCACGTTGTTGCTATGATAAGAAATCATGTTTATATCATGTAGGAATCAAAATGTGGCCAATCATCACATTTGCGGCGCCCGTGGCTAAGGCGTTGCGAGTTCGACTCGTAAGCCAGCATACCGCGATCGAAACCCACTGCAGGCTGCGTGGATTTGTATCGTGGTATGGGACGTCGCAGGTCGACCCAGCCTAAAATGGGTACCAGGATGGGCTGTCCTGGGAAAGTAAAGACAGCCGGCGTAATGCTGACCACATTACCCACAGAGTGCTGATAGTCTGTAAACATATGGGACGCTCTGCCCATATGCCTGATGCGCCGAAAGGCGTGAAAAGGGATCTTTACTTTTTTTTTTTTTAATGTAGAAAAGCTCAGACAAAGGCAGTATTTTGAAAATTGAAGAAAAACTAGTTCTATATAATCTTTCATTTTAAATTAAGACTAAAAAGAAAATTCTTGAAAGGTATATAAATCATCTTCTGATGAACAAAAGGGAATTATGGACAGTTGGTAGATCAGTGAACCAGTGTTTGGAAGCTGTGGTGAGAGGCATATACCCTGACAAATAGCGAGAATACCCTGGGCAAAATAAAATTGAATACCCAGATAGAAAAAGACAATCTACATTCTTTGGTCATGTCACAAGAAAGAGAAAAATGGAGTACATCCTGACAGTAGGAGACTTGGAGCAGAATAGGCAGAGGGAGACCGAGAGAAAAGAGGCCGGGCAGTTTAACATCAATGCATGGGGGAATCATCTGCATCGGTTGACTGAAAGTGTACGAAACAGAAGAATGTTGGACAGACATGACTACCAATGACACCCAGCATGGACTTCAAGAACAACAACATAATTGTTATAAGTCAGGGGTTCCATTATTGTTTCCCCTAGATGAGGCCATGAAACACACACAAAGAGGAAGGGGCAGTTTTCGCTGGATTATTTCTATTTACAAGAACACTTCTAAGAGATTTTTGTACATTTCTGTCTTTTTTACAAAGTGTAGTTGGTCTTTACAAACACTCTGTACAATATAAACCATACATAACTTGCTATACCCAGGCATTCTACAACGTCAACAATCCAGGCATGGATATAAGACATGGGGATGTACTGGCCGGAAGATGTGTGATGAATAGCAAGTCCAGATTGGCTATTACCAAGATTGGGTAACTATTTAGACTGATTAGCTGCAAATAAATTGTCAAGAATTAGGTACATGTTACGTGAAACTGTTGTATCAACGATTACAAAGATGTTAGTGAGCTGTTTCTTTTAAATTGTTTTTGTTACTATGTATTCACAATATCCTGTAAAATATCAGATAACGTTTAGCTGAAACTAATAAGTGACAATTGTGGTTTATTTGTGCTCATAGTCTCCTGCTTCTTCTTCAGCATTCCGAACTCCTGGAGTTCACTGCTACAAATAGCACATGCTTTCATTAATCTCTCTGCTTGGCCTTCTCTTTCCAGTTAGTTACACCACGTTTTTGTAGGTCTGTCTGAACATTATCTCTCCTTCGTCTTCTTGGCTTCATCGTGGTCTACGACATTTCAGCTGCCTTGTGTACACAGTTTTACTGCTCTGTCATCTGTTATTCTTTACTTATACCCTTGCCATTTCAGTCTATTAGCCCTCATGATTGCAGTGCTCAACTTGTGATTTAAATAGATTATGCATTTCTTTGTTGCTTCTCACTCCCCATTCCCTGCTGTTTGCATCTCTGATGGGTCCATAGATTTGTGGAAAGGCTGTTGAAATTTTTTTTTTCAAAATGTTTCATCTCTTTTAGCTGTGCCTAAAGTTTTAAAGCCATATAAAACTCAAAGACCTAACAGCGTTTTACATATTTTGATCTTGATGTTACGAGACAGAAAATTAAATTTTAGCAGATGTTGTAGGGCATCGTACACTTTATTTTCAGTCTGTATTCTAGATTGTAGTTCTTCTCTTTTTGTTGTTGTTGTTGTTGTTGTATTTTGGAGCAGCTGAATTTCGCACCCAAGAATTTATGCTTCCGCTCTTCTGATTGATTTTATGTGGCCGGAGTAATTATTCTTTCCCTGTTTGTTATTATTATTATTTTGTCTTATCTTGTTTGATAACGAGTTTTATTTATAGTGTTCATATTATTTTGTCTAATACATTTTTTTAAATGTTTAAGATGAAACTAGTTGGTCAAAAAATGTGGTAAATATTTATCTATAATATCGTACTAAATATTAAAAAAACTTTAGTGTAACTGTTACATTAACATGGTGGCAACATTTTTGTTCTAGTCTTGCCAAATATTAAATGGACACTTATTGATTGCCAAGCTATTTTGTTCACGTGATGGTAAAGGTGTGTTTAAATCTTGCCAGATAATTACTAGTAACGGTGGCTTTCTTTAAAAAAAAAAAAAAAATGCCGGATTCAAAATGACTGTCGCAAGTGTCTGACCCGACCACGGCGTAACAGTTAATATTTTGTTGATTTCCCTATTTAAAATGACTATGTTCAAAATTGTCGTTTGTTATTGTGTGCGTCTTTTCAATTACCTTCGTTGCGCTTTTTGGCCATATTTTACGTTGTAGTAAATACTCACCACAATGTAGCTTTTAATGTAGTGTTGTACAAAAATGGTGAAAAAGCAGTACGGCGTACTGTTGCCTACCGCAACAACAACAAAACTCTACCTACATCTCTTTGTTTTTCTCAACAGCTCGACCAACCACGATGAGATGTGTAATTTCTACATCATGTATTCAACTTACGAACAGGCAAATCTGAACACTGCGTTCTGTTTCAAAGACGCTAATAACTACAGTTGGTTGCAGACCTTTAAACCAGAGGATGTTCCAAAAGATACGGAGTCTTTAGCTGGTATTCAGGGAGCTCAGGAAATAACGGAGAAATTCAAATCTTTGGAGATAACAATGTAAAGTCTTTACTATTATAAATACAAACATGACTTTCATTAAAATGTCTTCAGTTATTGGGAGAAAACTTGAGTTTGAATGAATAAAGTTCCATAGGCCATGTTTATATACTGAATGCTCTACAAGAAGTGAGACGTTTGCGAGAACCAGTTCATGACTGTTAGTCTCAACTATGACCAGATTGCAAGAGCAGCAAGTTAGTAAAAGGGTGTGTGATGATAAAAGAGAAGAAGAAGAAGAAGAAGAAGAAGAAGAAGAAGAAGAAGAAGAAGAAGAAGAAAGAAAGAAAGAAAGAAAGAAAGAAAGAAAGAAAGAAAGAAAGAAAGAAAGAAAGAAAGAAAGAAAGAAAGAAAGAAAGAAAGAAAGAAAGAAAGAAAGAAAGAAAGAAAGAAAGAAAGAAAGAAAGAAAGAAAGAAAGAAAGAAAGAAAGAAAGAAAGAAAGAAAGAAAGAAAGAAAGAAAGAAAGAAAGAAAGAAAGAAAGAAAGAAAGAAAGAAAGAAAGAAAGAAAGAAAGAAAGAAAGAAAGACAGACAGACAGACAGACGGACAGTCAGTAGAAAGGAAGGAAGGAAAAAAGATAAACAACACAAATAATAACAACATCAGCAGCAGTAGCAGCAGCTACCTTTGCTTGCCGATGTTGTGGCTAGGTATTCTGAACCACTTGTACTCAATAATTGTTTTGTCAGCCCTGACAGTAAAGAAATATTGATCCCGATCGACTGTAACACAAAAATTTGAGTTGCCTGAAGCCTCTACCCTCTCCTTCAACAATACAATTTTAAAATAACTTTGCAGTATTATATTATTGTATTTCCATTATCTAATTGTTATAAACAATGCATTCAATATCACATACAATATTCATTAGTTATTTTTTTTTCCATACAGCCGAATGCCGTATATCTTTATGTCTGTTTTTACATGTGTGTGTGTGTGCGGGGGAGGGGGGTGGTGTCGTTGGGGCAAGGGTCCTCATAATACGGATCCTTGATCTTCTGTACGATAAGATCCGCTGTCTTCCGAACTAGATCCCAGAGCTCTAACATCTCGGCCAGTTGATTCTCTACAGTTGGATAAATAATAATAAAACTTGTCAAAAGAAATTTCAAAGGTGTGATTGATGCAGATCAAATTGTAATTAGAACTGTTTAAAGTAGCATACGGGATCAGTATGGCCACAATAAAACACAGTCTTTCAAAAACTATACTGAAAGGAAAGGTCGATGTAACAAAAAAGACGTAGACAGCGATATCAGTGGGACGACAACACCCCAAGAGATGGTTGCAAAAATGCTTTCTTTTTTCCTTGAAAAGTTTAATAAACCCCACCATCCCCCAAAAAACTTTGTTTCGGCACAATAAATGCCCACCCAAAAAGACAGCAGGTTAATAATAGTGCGTTCGAAATTTGGTACGATGTTAAAAAAATTATATATCAGCTGTAGTGGAATATACATATATTATTGAAATTCTATTGTAATATTTATACAATTCGGAACGTTGTCAGATCTCCACCAACCATACCTCCAACCACCCTATCCCGAATAATGAGTGATTATAATGCATTTTCGCTTCCTCGAGGTAAATATGATGATCCATGCTGTATTGTATTTTAAAAGTTACACAGCACATAGTTCAAATGTAACAAATCAACCTTTCACACAAAAATATGTGTTTGTTGTGTTTTACGAAAATTCTAAATGAGACCACATCTTGTATTCTGAAAGTGTCGAAACTCGCTATAAAATAAGTTTGCTATGTCTTTCCCCAATGTCGTCATCAATTGTAACACCGTGACCTATATCGTCTGTTCCTGTGATTTAAGAATGAAGCTAAAAGTTAAATTACCTACACAGAAAATATAACTATGTAGTTATATTAATATTTCTCAACTAAAACTAAACGCGGCCGTTAGTGTCATTCTATTTTACAGAGAAAAGAACAAAACGTGCCCTATTACCGATCAGACATTTTCTAGATGGGCTCTAGAAGAGTTCATTCAGTCTACATATACCAATGTTGAGCGAGGAAGCAACAACAACAAAAATAAATAAATAAATAAATTAAACTGATATCTTTGACAAAGAAGATATTGCATGATCAATGCATAGCATATTGGAGGACAAAGCATTGTTGACGCTTTAGAAATTAAAAATTAAACACAACATTGCCATTTATATGTCTTAAAGTACATCCTTATGAAAAATTGCAATACGTGCTGACATTATATTTTGGAAGCATACGGGTGGTAGCAATGTCATTTGTACAAAGCCTTACATAGTAGCTTTGAGAAATACATACTTACTTGAAGTCAGGAAAATGCTTTAAGACAATATGATATTATTTATGTACATGAAACACGGATAAATGGATGAATAAATAAAGACTGATATTAGCTCATGCAAGTAACAGACCCAATGGACTATTGGAAAATAGTAAACTCATGTTTGTTAATTAAAAAAAAAAAAAAAAAACGATCATCACGCAGTGATGAATGGTAACATATTTAAATGTTGGATTGAAAGTACTGTGATTCTGTCATTAGTTAGACCCTCCTATTTTGCAAATGATAGTGCTTCCTATCATAATTGCAGTGGCACTGGAAAAACAAGGTGCCGACACCAACACGTACTAGGAAGCAAATACAAATCTGGTTTATGAAAAAGCATATTCTATTTACGGACAAGCAACTAAAACCGCAATGGTCACTTGTAAAGAATGCGTTTTGACAAGGACTTTTCAGACTAAAAACAAAGCAAACAAAAACAATACATTAACATGATCATTTGTGTTTAATACTACCTCCTTACCATTCACCATTTAAATCCCATAGAATTATTTTTGGCACAAGTTAGGAATAATGTGGCAAGTGTCAACACAAGTTTCAAACTCTCGGATTTTAAAGAAATTGCACATGCTGCCATTCCAGACATTGACAAGGAATTCCAGAGAAATTTGACTAAAAAGTTCAACAAATAGGGAAGCAGAAAAACGGGCACAAAACAACACAATATAACGTTTCGACCGGGCGGTCTTTTTCAAACATAAGTGAACTACACAAATGTAACTACGAGGATATGAGAGTACATAGATCTCTAAGGGGTGACGTGAGCAACGTTTAAAAAACATGTGGTGTGGATTAAATAAATTAAAATAAAACAAACAATAGCTAAAAAATATAGTCACAAAAAATTATAAACAGTAGTATTGTTAATAAATAATATAATGCTGGGAATAAAAGAAATACAAATGTTAATGATATATAAATGATACTGACTGATAAGAAATAGAATAAAGTAATAATATGAAATAAAATAAAAGAGAAGAAAATATAATAATTAACATTTAAAATGTCATAAGAGTAGAACTATTTAGATGAATGTATGTTGGATATTGATACCACCTGGACTCAGAACGTTTAGGCTATGGATGAGGCGATTTTCTAAAGCGAGGCGCATAGTATGATCACCAGAGCAAGATTTCAATGCTGTGACAGAAACGTTACGTTGTGTTGTTTTGTGCCCGTTTTTCTGCTTCCCTATTTGTTGAGCTTTTTAGTCAAATTTCTCTGGAATTCCTTGTATTACCTTGACTGCAGTCACCCCCATATTTTCAGACATTGACAAACAGTTATGTATCAAATGTAAAGACTAAGTAATGAAGTCACAAACCAGGAAACTTTAGATAGTATGATGATAACCAAGAGAAGATGGATATGGCTTGGCCACGTTATGAGAAGGAATCCTGATATACCTGCTAAAACAGCTCTCACATGGACACCAGAGGAAAAGAGAAAACAGGGGCGCCTAAAAACAGCATAGAGACGAACGATGGAAAGTGACCCGAGTGCGGCATCTTTGACATGGAAAACTGCACTGAAGATTGCACAGGACAGGAAAGCATGGAAAGTCCTCTCTGAAGCGTATGTACTGCTCATAACGCAAACACATAATACAATAACAATTACTTGAGAAGGTAACCTCGTTTTACTATCCTGAAAAGAGTCGAAAGCACTTTGAAGGAAGTAGGTGGAGACGTTATTGTTTCAAAGGAGAGTCCCCTTCAAATAAATCGTTACAGTTCTGCAAAATTCCAGTATACGCGTGTGCGTGTGTTTGTGTGTGTGTGTTTTGGGGTGGGGGTGGAGGGGTGGGAAAATGGGCTAGGGGTTGGGGGGGGGGGGGGGGGAAGTCCTGACTTTTTCCGCCAATTGGACCAGGATGTGGCTCATCAGATTTGATGTTGCTAAAAATCTTCCTACAGAACTTTGCTTCTGCCTTTTCTTTAGTGTGTCTCGGAAATGTGAGATTGTCCTGTCATTTAAGCAAATACTACAATGGCATTTTGTTGCTTTGTTGGGGGTGATATTTCTCTGCAAAGTCATTGACATTTTTTTGGTAGCTTTGCCTAGAGAGAGGTAAACACAGTGTTACGACTTATTTTGACTCACACCAGTCCGTATTCTAAAAAAGGATCTAAGGATCTTATACACAAACAAAAAGTTAGCCTCGGAACAGGACGTATACCAAGTTAAACGTTTACCAAAGCCAACCCAAACTTTGTCACGTAACCAGCCAGAACACCTATATATTCGTAGTTTTGTCCGCATCATGCTTACCTCTATGCAAATGATCTGTATTCAAATATGGACTATTACTCCATAAGTAAACTGTCCTTCGTTATTAAGTATGGGTCAGGATGTATGTGTAGGAACTTTGTTTATTTCTAAATCTGTTAGGAGTGAGTTATATGATGAATTAACTTACAGGTAATTGATTTTCGTGAGTAGTGAAGCCTTTTTCCAAGGTTGAGCTACTGCTTTTTTGGCGAAAGGAATTCTTTCCGCTTCTGGCTCGGGAGAGGTTGAAACTACAGCGTCATTCTAGACGCAGATCCCGAAGTCAACAGATGCTATAACGCCTTTTCTGTCAGCTTACATTTATATTTACTTTGACAATTACCATTTTTACCCGACAACTTCAAGAGAGTGTGGGATGTATGAGCTATGAGAAAGTGACAGCGCTGACTCCACTGGGACCTACGTCAGGATTAAAGTGAAAGAGATCCACAAGTTTACTGTCATTAATCACTTTATCTACAAAAACCTTGTAACAGTCATCAGGTACCACACTTTCTGACTCTGACCTGAACAACTCTGGGAGAAGTAACATGATGGGTCACACTCTTTAGAAGACAGCTGAAGCCACCACATCATCATCCGGTTGGACTAGAAAAGGTTTTGCTACTACCAACTCCTATCAGCCTATGTTACCATTGTAACCATTAACTCTTAGTAGGGGACAGTTTATCATGTCGTAAAACTGTAGAATTGTGCCGGTTGAATTCTGAAGCAGAAATAGACTTGGACTGAGGACAGGAGCTGATCAGTCATTCACTACAACTAAGGATAAATATATAATTCCAAGAAGTACAGCAAACCGGCCATTTTGTGCAACGAGCTTACTAATACCGTAATACATCATCAGTGCAGTGGTGAACTTGATCCGTGACTTTATGTTAGGTCCGTTGTCATTACTAACTAACATATTATAAATGTCATATGTTACTCTCTAGTCAGTTTCAGTTCATTAAGATTTCTAATATTGTTGAGACTGATTACACCAACTTACTTTTATTAGTGTCTGGTATTTCTCGGTTCTTTTTAGTTCAACATCTGTGTGAATTGATATTAAATAATATTTATGTTGATACTGTGTTTGTTTGACTGGTATAGAGATCCTGTCCAGTGTGGGGTAGTGAGGAAGTCTGGCCAAGTTGTGCCCAGGAATCTCTGAAAAAGTTCTGTTGTGCCAAGTACTCTAGTCGCCTCATCGCTGAAGTGATGTTGGGTGGATGTTGGAGCTGCCGAGTACCGCCTAGGTCAATACGAGCCGCTATCACAACAATATGTCACTTAAGAATGTCTTTAATTACTAGGGAAGACGCTAATTAGGACACGTGACAACATTGTCTCGTGACAAATCTAAGTACCACGGTATGTAGTTCGATAGTATCAGTTTAAAATCCTCGTTACCTATTTTGACAAACCTGCCCCCGTAAGTTAATTAGTTTGCTCTAGTCCCAGTGGTGGTTGACTTACAGAGGTTCTACTGTAACTGATATCCCGTTAACCGAGATATCGAACAATTATTGGTTATCTCCATTCATACAGACGCTGAGCAGTTACTGTAAAAAAAAAAAAAAAAAAAAGACATAAAAAAAAAAAAAAATTACCAATTGCACAATTATAGGTATATAAGCATGTGTGTATGTATGTGTGTGTGAATGTATGTATCAATGCACGTGTGTGTATACGTATATGCATATTTATATTTACATACATACATAGATAAATACATACTTACATACATATTTACACACACACACACACACAAACACACGCCCACACCCCCACACACACACACATATACAGACACACATACAGACAGACATACATACACACACACATATATACAGACACACATACAGACAGACATACATACATACAGACAGACAGAGAGATAGACAGACAGACAGACCGTCAAACAGACAGACAAGCAGACAGTCAGGCAGGCAGGCATACATACATGATGAGGAGGAGGTGGTGTAGAATAAGGAGAGTGTGTGTGGCAGACAAGGCGACAAATGACTAAGGACGGCGATGACATTAGTACCACACATCCATTCAAGACCCTAAATATACTTGTCACCTTTTTTTAATAATTTCATCTTTGTCGTCATTGCTTGTTCGCGGGACTGTTATACTGGTTTTGCTGCCTTCTTGTGTCTTCGCCCACTCCTGGAGTTCTCCGGACCCAAAAATGATGAACATCACGGATGACAAGACAAATACAGCAGAAAAAACAAGGAATGTCAACTGCCATCCGCTGCGCAGTCTCTGTGGAGGCATGAACAAGCGAGTTACAATATTTTGTTCCTATTGCTTCTCTCTTGAAGTGTGAATAAATAAAGTGTAACCCTCAAGTCAATGTCAATAGGAAAAAAGAAGACATATCTAAACATAGCAATAAGTGCACAGGCATTAAACAGGCATCTGAGTTTAAATATTTGGGAACTATATTTACCAAAGATGGGAAAGTAGATAAAGAAATTGACATTAGATGCTGTAAAGCAAACCAAGTATTGGGACAGCTAGCTCCCCCCTTACAGCATAAGACAATCCCAATCAGCACAAAGAGACATCTTTTTGAAAGCATATTTATTCCAACTCTATGCCACTAGTGCCAGACATGGTCACTCACAACAAACCATAAAAGAAAATTAGTAACCGCCATGGAAATGAGATGTCTGAGGAGGGCTGTAGGAGTGACCATAAGAGATAAGATCAGGAATGAGATCATAAGAGAAAAAGTAGGCACAGAACCAATTCTAAATTACATACAAAGACAGCAAGTGAAATGATTTGCCAACTTAGAGAGTATGCCTTGTGAAACCATACCATACAAAGCATACATGGAAAGAGAAGAAGGACGTAGAGCACGAGGTAGACCAAGAACAATATGGAAGGATAACAGAGAAACTCTACAACAGTACGATGTGCCTATAGTCGAGGCGGCCAGAAGAGCTAGAAACAGAACCTTATATCTCCCTCGACACCCACAGCGGTAAAAGAGGAAGTGAAGAAGAAGAAGAGGAAGAAAAAGAAGAAGAAGAAGAAGAAGAAGAAGAAGAAGAAGAAGAAGAAGAAGAAGAAGAAGAAGAAGAAGAAGAAGAAGAAGAAGAAGAAGAAGAGGAACCCTCAAGTTGAAAGAATTTGGTCCAGAAATAATCGGCTTTATTGCACTAGGCTAGCACTTGATCGAAAGATGAGAATGTTTAGCCTCCTTTCAAGAGTACCGCACAAAGAGCGATATCGGTAGCTTCAGAGACTGCTCCCAAGGGTTCGTAAAAACAAATGGCGCTTATAAATAGAACGGCGTATCTAGTGAAATGCACACGTGATCTTCGGAACCTGAGGAAACACTTGAACACCTAGCCAGGAAGACCCTAAAAACCCCACCCAAGAGACCTAAATACGTCAGTCTCAGTTAGGATTATTTCAACATGGTCTAAAACAGCGTTAGTCTCAAACTATTTTTCTCCGCGGCACCCTGCCGGGCAAACAATTGTAGAGACATACCTACCCTTAAAGTGGTTTTAATACTTGGTAGTGAGGTGGAGGGTGGGTGGGTGGGTGGGGGGGGGGGGGGGGGCAAGAACCATTGCAAATTTAATGTTCAGTCGTCTTTAATGCGAGAAATGAAACTGTTTGGAATAATTTTTCATTATACCCTTTTTATTTATAGGAAGTTTAGTTAATTGTACCCTCAAATCACTGAAAGGCTGCACCTGTAACTGTACTATAATATATGCGTACGTTGAGTATGCACTGCAGCCTTGCCAGTAACATTGATTTCTGATTACACCTCTATCTAGAACTTTTCTTGTCTTCCTTTTTTGTATTTCTGTTTTAAACTACTGTCTTTGCTGATCTCAAACAAATTAAAAAAAAAAAATTCTTGATTATTGCAGCGGCACACCAGGCATACGCTCACGGCACCACTTGGTGCCGCGACACCCAGTTTAAGAACCACTGGTCTAGAATAACAACCCCATCTTTAAATCAGTCCATGCTTGATCTATAGGAGTTACCACTTCCAATACAAGTCGGGGATTATTTTTCAACTGTTATATCTCAAATAAATGTTACAGACAGGCGGTCTAAACATATTTACATACCACTACATATAGCAAATTTACAAACCTTGTTTGGGGGAAAAAACAAAATTATTGTTTATCAAGCATGTGTCCTCATCATAAGCTTAAAGCTGTGTAATGTGCTCACTTGCTTCACCTAGAGACACGGCTAAATGTCTTTCACATGCAATGCATAGGAAGACTACTTGGTATTAGGTGGCAAAACGAGATTACAAACACTGAGGTGCTGAGAAAAGCAGTTAAACAGCTGTTTTCTCAATATTAGTCTTTGGAAGTTTAGATGCTTTTTACACTCTCAAATGATGGAGCATGGTAGAGTCTTCAAAGAACCTCTGTAGTGAATTACGGGGGGTGGTGGTGGGGGGGGGGGGAGGGGGGAGGAGATGATGTCAGGTTAACTCTCTCATCATCATCATCAGGTGCCTTGCCGACTGGCGTGGGCGATCATGCCTCTCCATAATTCGCGATCTCCTGCAGCATGTATCAGTTCGTGTGCCGACACACCTCCATGCCATGCAACAAGACTGTCAAGCATCTTCTCTCGTTGTCTTCCTCTATCCCTCCTTCCACAGATCTTTCCAGTGGTCGCAACATGTTCTATTTTCCCTCTTCTCATAACATGGCCGAAAAACAGCTCTCTACTACTATTTAAAGATGTGTGCGAGCGGGACATTAATAATACACGTCTTGAAATGGGTTCAGAAGAACGGATGAAACTGATCGCACTGCATGAACTAACAGTTGTGACTGAATAGGGACAAAAGAAAACGAGATTTCAGAAAGTATAAAAGTTGCCAATAAACATGGTTCTAAAATCTGATGCACTTATTGTGGAAGTTATGTTTTAACGCTTGTTGGTCATGCTGGTTCCATTTGCCACCATTGTGTGCTGTGATTCCAAAGTCTCCCTGTCACACAGTGGAAACGAAAAGACGACAAGGAATCAACATATTATGATTTGACGTGTTCACTGAGACAGAAACTACTACAGAACTCACTGGATGGGGTGTTACGAGTTATAAGAAGCATCTGGAAAAAAAAAAATAGCAAATAAACCCAGGGAAGTTGCCGGGCACAACCTGAACTGTATAACATACGCCAGAAGAAATTCAGGTGGATAAACAAAGAAATAATTGGGGTCCAGTAGATTCGTATGACAACTAGGTGGGACGCGATAAATTAGGACAATCATGGTCTTAATTAGAGCTGTACCGAATAGTGATTTTTACTATTCGGCTGAAAACGAATAACGGGACCAGCTATTCTGCCGAATACGAATAATATATAGTGTGTGTATATATATATATATATATATATATATATATATATATATATACATTCATAATGTCAAATGTACGCTGAACATTTACTTCACTTAAAGTAGCACAGAATAGTCATCTTCTTCTTTAGCATTCTGAGCCCTTGAGTTTTACTGCTGCAGACTTCACTCATCTCAATTCATCTCTCTAGCTTGCCTTCTCTTCACAATTTGTGAAACCAGTTGTTTGCAGGTCTGGCTGGACATTATCGTTCGAACTTCTTTTTTGTCTGCCTTGTGGTCTACGCCCATTTCTCTCTTAGGTGTATACAGTTTTACTTCTCTGTCATCTGATATTCTTTCAATATGCCCCTACCATTTTAATCTGTTAGCTCTCATGATGCCAGTGATCAATGGTGATTTAAACAGATTAGGTATCACTCTGTTGCTTCTCACTCTCCTTTTCCCGCTGTAAGCATTTTTGACGGGTCCAAAGATTTGTCGTAAGACTCTTTTTTCGAAAACCTGTAATACGGTCTCATCTCTTTTATTTCTGCTTCAAGTTTCTGAGCCATTAAAATTATTCTTGGTTTACACCGACTTTAACATCTAGGGTTGAAAACACAAACTCCACTCAGCTCCTCTGTACATGCTGTCAGTTTATTCAGTTACATTTATTCCTCATGCTTCAATAATTATTCACACTTCTATCACTCGCGACATATTCAAACACTAACCATTCGCGCGACATAAAGACGACATCTTCAACCAAATGCAACCGTCTTCCTCGACTTCTATTGATCCACTGACCACGAGTCTAGCTCGGACTTCCCCTCTCTTACTCGACTAGCCACAAGTATTTCATGCTGTCACTTATTGCACGGACTTTCTACTTGCCACAAGGTAATCGTGGAGACCATGCAAAGCAGGGTCATCACACTCTCCCCCCTTCTGAACAAAATGACACTTTATGGAACATTAAGTCTCATTTTCATTTAACCAGATATAATAAATCAATTTAATTGTATTACTGCTAGAAATTATGGTTCCTGATTATCCTCAATTACTGCCCTTTAAAACTGCCTTCAATATTTACTGCATGCTTTTCCTAGTTCTGAGCTGGTGAAGAGTTTAAACCATCTTTACACCTATTGCATCTGTAGTATTGTCTAGTCACTATATCTACTCTATCAGGTTCAAATCTTGGCGCACTTAACGGTAGAAGCTTCGTTCGATTATCGTTAATATTCCCCAGGCTCAATATCGCACGTGGCAAATAGAAGTATCACGTCTCAATGCTGTCCTTTACTTGTTGACAGCTATTCCTTGTTCTATCCTAGCACGGTTCTAAGTTTGTTATGCTTTAACATCTGCTAAAGTCAAAGTCTCTGTCCCAGAACACCAAGATTTAAAAAAAAAAATATCAAACGTTAATAAGACCAGTCGTTTTGTATGGCTCCAAAACGTGGAGCACAACAAACGAGATGAAACCTCATTACACATTTTCGAAAACAACGTTTCACGACAGATCTTTGGATCCATCAAAGATGCAAACAGCGGGGAATAGAGAATGAGAAGCAACAACGAAAGTATTCTGTTTAAACCACCATTGATCACTTGCATCATGAGAGCTAACAAACTGAAATGCCTTGGGCAAATTAAGAGCACATCAAATAACAGAGGGATAAATACTGTGTACCCAAGGGAATTGAATTGTCGTAGACCACGAGGCAGACCAAGAAGACTGTTGAGCTATACTCAGACACAGTTTCAAACATCTGGTGTCACCAACTGTAAAGAAAAGTCCAGCCAGAGAGATGAAAGGAGACGGTTGTTATCTGCAGCAAAAAACATCAAGGGCTTGGAATGTTTGAGAAGAAGAAAAAAAAAAGGCCTATATACATAAAAACCGAGAACCCCAATTTAAACTTCTTCTTCTTCTTCTTTGTCTTCTTCTTGTTCTTGTTCTTCTTATTCTTCTTCTTCTTTTTCTTCTTCTCCTGTATGTGTGTCTTTCTTGCTTGCTTTCCTGCTTTCTTTCTTCTTCTGTTTCTTCTTCTTCTTTTTTAATCATGTTATTATTTTGTTACCTTTTTCGTCTACATTCGTAACATATGTTTTTGGCGAAAAGATTAGTAAACGGGGTAGAGGGGCCTTTGGAAATATGATTCCAGACCGTGACACTTTTTAGCCACTAATTCCATAGTAATTAAAAACCCCATCTCAACTTGACTCAGTCTCACCCGGAATTAATACTTACGTTTGATGTCAATTCCTTTATCATAGCGAGGGACGCAAGCGCTGAAAATGTTGCAATCATATTTGCAATGCCGTAAATCACACCAGTGTGTTGTGGCGCTATTTCCAACAGATTCACAAAATATCCGGCTCCAAACTGATTTCCAGAGATAGCATTTATTGCCACCATGGTAACCACCGCCAGAGAACTCTGATTGCAGTCTAAGAATCCCACAAAGATTAACAAGGCAGCCGGCACTAGGAACGCTGCATGATAATTTTTGTTTTTTAAAAAAAAAAAGGGGGGGGGGGGGAAGAAAGAAAGGAAAAAAAAACGATGTGAGTGACAATACACATTCTCGCCTTGTCAGGACTATCGGTGGCTTAACAGTTAGGGGTCCTAATGTAACTTATTTGGGGTTGAACGTGGTTTCCATCAAATGTACATGGTTGATCCCTCTCCTTTATGTGTAGTTATGCAGACTGCAATTCCTGAATTGACAAATTACTCAAATTACCTTTAGCACGATTTCAGTAAAAGCGTTTGATGGCAACGGATAGGAAGACTACGATTTCGTTTGCTAAGAGCATTTCATCCACTGAGGGATACGGAAAAGAAGAAGAAGAAGAAGGAGAAGAAGTGTAGTTATTTATGTGTGTTCCTGTAGTCTTTGGTTGTCGACCCTGTTCCCTCAGTCTCCTAATTTTGCTTCTTTGATTGTCCAGCTACTTCCTCTGGTTGCCCATTTCATTTTCCAAATTAGCACGTTAGTCAGTAAGATCCAGCACTGCCTTCGCTAATCCATTCCTTTCAGTTCCAATTTTCCTCAGAAGTGAGCGTGATTCTGTTCTTTCCTCGAGCAGCTTCTCTATCTGGCGGGTCTTTATAGACATGCCGTGACCGGCATACGGGAATGAACGAAGGGAGGCAGGCATACAGATGGGCCTCAAGCTGCTGTCATGGGATATGGGAGGAAGGGTCGGGTGCTGGATCGACTGGATTGGGAGAGTGGAGAGCCACCATGATCTTTTCAAGTGAGTTTTACAGAACTCCAATATATCCGGCTTTTTGCCATATGGCCTACCACTCCTCCGTTTAAGGCCTGGTATCAATACTTTCTACACCATCATTGGGAACTGCTTTGGTTTAGCGGGTAAATGCCCTCATGCGAAATGGAAGGGCTTTGGTTCAATTCCTGACGGAACCGGTACTTTCTTTCTTATCCAAAAATTACCTTGGCCTCTAGGTCGACTTGCCTTGAGTGGGTACCAGGTATAGTCCTGGGAAGTGCATGGGCAACATATGATTTTTACAATACTGCCTAGGCTTTGTGCAATTGAGAGGATGAACTTCATCCTTGGCCTTAATTTTTATAGGAAACAAATCGAGAGGCAACAGTTACGGGTTATAAGTCCTTGTCAGTTGGCGTAGACGAGGGCGCCACGGGTTGCTTCTGACGGTTGGAGACAACTTCGAATGTCACTGATCAACAACCGCCCGCTTCAAGCTGGACAGCCCCCAGCCAATAAGGTGTTGATCAGCCACAGCGTGTGTGCTTTAATGGGTGCTTGGAGCTAAGACAAAATCCGAATTGCAGGCTGTGAAACCAGTGTACCAGGTAATAAAAAAGAAACATAACCCTAAGTTTGACTTGGCTCTTGGAACGTGAGAACCATGTGTCCAGGGTTTTCCACTGACGTGGAAAAAAAATTAATGGTGTGAGACAAAAGGCTATCATTGATGCCGAACTCAACAAACTTGACATAGATATTGCTGGCCTACAGGTAACTCGTCTGCCAGAGAATGGGTCTATCACAGAAAATAATTATACATTTTTCTGGAACAGCAGAGGCCAGGAAGAAATCTGGATCCATGGAGTGGGATTTGCATAATGAATTCACTGTTAGATTCAGTTGAGTGTCCAACTGGAGGAAGTGACAAAATATTATCTCTACGATTGTCTACCACAAGCGGTCTTATTAGCCTTGTTACTGCATATGCACCCATCCTAACGTCAGCATAGGACGCGAAGGATTCTTTTTATGAGGAATGGATAATGCAGTGAAATAAATTCCTAAATCTGACGGCATCTATATACTTGGTGATGTTATTGCTCGCGTAGGGTCAAACTCATGACCAGTTTGTCTTGGCAAATATAATGTTGGTCACATGAATTAAAATGGGCGGAGACTACTGGAATTCTGCACTAGAAGTGACTTGTGCATCCCATAAGATGATAAGACCGCCATAAGGTGTCATGGAAACATCCAAGATATGACCACTGGCACCAGCTGGGCCTTTTTTTTTTTTTCACAAGGAGGCAGAACTTAAACTGTGTATCACTAACTTGCAGCTGCCACACTACTGATTGTGAAACTGACCATTCCCTAGTTGCTGCAAGATTTCGGATGAAACAAAAGAAAATTTTCACTTCAAAAAACAAATATATCCCTAGGTTAACTATTTTCAAAACTAAAGACCCTGAAAAGTGTTTTGAGTTTCAAAAGCTTGAAGATTCTTTCGCTGATATCCAGGATAACTCTACAGCAAGTCTAAAATGGGATGAAATTAAGGAGACTTTACAAAACAGCTGTATTAGTCTATGGGATTTGCAAAAATAGAAGTAAGGACTGGTTTGAAGCAAATAGCCAGACATTCCAACTTTTAATTGACAGAAAAAAAGGTAACACTCATCAGAAACAAGGAAAGAACAAAAAGGAACACTTTCAATGAATTAAGAGCAGCTAGAAATCATTTGCTAAAGGTAGCTAGTCAGTGTGCCAACAACTGCTGGATCCAGTTACTTGAAAGCATTCAAAATGCTAGCAGTAGTGGTAAAATTAGAGTCATGTATAAGGGGATAAATAAGGCATCGGCCCTACGATTAAAAAATGTGCTTCACTAACGAATTTGAATGGGAAGATTATTATGAACAAGAAGAAGCATATAGATAGATGGGTGGAACATTACCTGGAGGTTTACTCAGTTGATACTAAACCAACAGATGGTGCTCTTAATGTCATGAAGACGCTACCAACTCTTGACTATCTGGACACATTTCCAACAGTTGTAGAAGTTGAGAATACTGTTGATGAATTGGCTTCAGGAAAAGCCCCAGCAAGAGATGAAATTCCTGTTGAAATCATCAGGAGTGGGAAAGATATTCTAACCCCACACATACATCAGCTAATACCACTCTGCTGGAAAAGGGACAGGTTCCGCAAGACTTCAGAGACGCAAGCATCATAACTATGTTCAAGAACAAGGGTGATCGGAGTGACTGCAATAACTACAGGGGAATATCACTGCTGTGTACTGTTGGAAAAGTGCTCGCGAGAATTGTTCTGCGAAGACTCCAGATCCTGGGAGACCGCGTTTACCCAAAGTCCCAGTGTGGCTTTCGTGGGAACCGATTTACCACTGACATGATATTTTCA